ACCATCCATCCTGATGCTGCCAATTGGTCCAGTGGTGAGAATCTTCATCTTCTTGACATTGAGCCTCAATCCATATTGAAGGCTGCAGTCCTTGATCCTCTGCAGCAAGAGCTTCAGGTCCTCCTCAGTTTCAGCAAGCAGGGTTGTGTCATCTGCATAACACAGATTGTTGACAGATCTTTCATCAATCTTGACCCCACAGTACCTTATTTCCACATGTAATGTACATAGTACAAGAGGGATTTAACTGTTTGCAAAATCCATGTTCTATGCATGTTATTTCATTAAAAATATGTAACTGATGTATTAACTCTTAAACGTGTGATAGGAAAATTCCTATACTTAAAGCATCCTAAAATTATGTCACTGAAACAAGGTTAATTTAAGCCTCTTCATGCAAGCTAAGCACAATTCTTTTTCTATTTTCCCAATTTCTCTTAAGAAACAGAAGCTAGAAAAGGACAAGAGCTTTGTTAGAACCAGGTATGCCTTGAAAAATCTCACTTTAAAGTTAATAATTAAATCTAACTAATAATGTACTAAGGGAATTATGCTGGTCTAGTGGCAAGAAACAGCAATCCCAAAGCACGTGGTTCAAGGCCACCAGCTGTTCCACAGAAGAAGGATGGGCAGTCTCCTCCTGTGCAATGAACTGTCTCTGAAAATCTGCCGAGGTTCTAACTACAGTACCCAACAACAACAACAGTGGTAAGGAGTTGCACTGCCCTGAAGGCATGTGGTTAAAATATGCCAGTTTCTCTGCTGGAGAAAGATGGGCAAGTTTCTCCCATGCGATTAACAGCTTCTGAAAATCTACTGGAGGATCAGCTATGAGTTGGTTCCTATTCAACAACATATAACAACAGTTGTTGTTGTTGTTGTTGTTGTTATGTGCCATTGAGTTAACTATCACTCATAGCAACCCTATGAACAACGGATCTGACCCTTGCCCTAAACTGAGAGCCAAACTCACTGTCTAATACACATTCACCCCATTGCCATAGTCACTGTGTCAATCCATCTCATCCAGAATCTTCCTTTTCTAAGGACCTAAGCCTGATGTCCTTCTCAAAGGACTGGTCCCTCCAGCAACATGCCCAAAGTATGTGAGATGGAGCTTCAAAATTCAAAGAGCAAACTGGTTAGTAATCTACTATTCTGAATATTTGAAATTTAGTAGATCAGTTTCCTCAAACTCTCATCGCAAATATTTTGGGCATGTTGTCTGGATGGCCAGTCCTTGGAAAACAGCATCATGCCTGGAAAAGTAGAGGATCAGAAAAAAAGAGAGGAAGACCTTCAACAAAATGGATTGTGACTGTAACAATGGGCTCAAGCATATCAGAGATCTTGAAAATGGAGAAGAGTAAGGTAACGGTCAGAGCTGTTGTTCAGAGGGTCACTATTTGTTGTTGAGTTGATGGCACCTAATGACAGTAGCAACATGTAAGTTTCCTTTTGCTGCAAGGATTTTGAAACTGCAACATACACTTTTCACATGTTATCAGGAGGGGCCCATCCTGGGAGAAGGACATCGTGCTTGGAAGGGTGAAAGGACAACACAGGAGAGGAAGACCCTAGATGAGATGGATTGACACAGTGACTGTGGTAATGGGGGCAAGTGTGTTGGAGACAGTGAGACTGGCTCAGGATAGGGCAGGATTCAGAGCTAATGTTCATAGGGTCGCTATGAGTCACAGTCAACTTCATGACACATAACAACAACAACTACAATTTTTTTATTGTCTAAAAACAGATTACCACACATTTAAGTAACATTATTTAAAACAACACAAATTTATTGTCTCCTAATCTGTTGGTCAGAAATCTGATAAAAGTGTCACCAGACTAAACTCAAGGTATCAATAATTACTTTCCTTTCTGAAGGCTGCAGGGGAGAATTTGTTTCCTGATCTTTCCAGTTTGTGCAAAATTCAGTCCCAAAAGCTTATAGGACCAAGGTTCCTGTTTTCTTACTAACAAATTAAAAGCCATTCCTGCTCATAGACGCCACTGCACTTAGCAGCATTTTCCTTCTTCAAAGCCAGCCAGGTCATATCCCTCTTAACTCTCCAAATCTCTCCTCCTTCTGCCACTTTTCTGATCTATGTCTATGCCTCTTTCTTTCATCTTTAAAAACCCATGATTCAACTTTGGCCTTAAAATAATCCAGAATAATCTTCCCAAATCAAAGTTCTTCACCTTAATCATACTTGTAAAATTATCTTTTGCCATATACAATAATATAGTTACAGAGTATGAGGATTAGGATATAAAGATTATCTTAAGAAAGCCATTATTCTGTCTGCCACACTTAATATTAACTAATGATGGTGGGACTGATCTTTAAAATTCCCAATCTAGATTGCCAATGCGTAACATTTACCTTCCAGGCAGTTCCAATTCATGGTGACTCCATGTGCTACTGTGAGATTTCTTGGATGTAATCTTGACAGATTTAGATCATCAGATCTTTCTTCCACAGCACTGCTGACTAGACTCAACTTGTCAGACTTTAGGTGAGTAGTTGTTGTTGTTGTACCATCAAATCAGAACTAACTCATAGCTCACCCTCTAGTGTTTTCAGAGGCTGAAAATGACATGGAAGGAGGCCGCCCATCTTTCTCCCTCAGTGCAGCCAGTGGATACAAACCACATGCCTGTGGGTTGGCATTGCAGTTCATGGACCGCTAGGCCACCCTGCTTACACTACAGGATCCTAGGTTATATGACAAGACTTTGTATCTAGTCAGAACAAATATCTCATAAATCTTGGGAATTATCTAAAAGATAGAATTTTACTCTACACCCTGACATGTAAAATATATATTGTAAGGTTAATAAAGCACATCACAGAATGTTGATATTGTTTCCTTGTATTTCTTAACTCAATAATATATTTCTACAAATATTTTTTAATTTAAATTATTACTTTTATTTTTCAGTTCAAGATTGAAAACTGGCAGATTGCCCGTTGTAATAAAAGCAAGCCTCAGAAGTTTATTAATGACTTAATGCAAGTACTTTATACAAATGAATATATGGCGACACACAGCCTGACGGGGGCAAAATCCTCTACTTCAAGGAACAAAGCTGTGAAACCCGCTATGAATCAGAATGAAGTCCAAGAAATTATAGGTGATAATAACATGACATTGTATTATCAAATGAATCTATTAATATGTTAATACGCAAGCTTAAGTTGCGCAGTTTTATGATCCTTCATTTTATTTTATTTTTTTTATTTTATTACTTTTTGTGCATGTACCGTCAAATCAGATCTGACTGGTACAGGAGGAGATTACCCCTCCTTCTCCAGCAGAGCATCTGGTGGATTAGAACGTGTACCTCTGGGATTGGGTCCTTCATTTTTTTTTTTACATTTCTTTTCCTTTGAAGGAAAAGCCCGAGCATAGTCTAAATAGTATTCTTATTAAACATTGAAAGTTTTATGGAAAAAATTCTATTAAATATAATTGTTAAAATAAAAGAAAGCTCTGATGGTTCAATGTTAAGGAGTTGCTAGAGACACACAGTTTGAATCCACCATCTCCTCCACGGGAGAAAGACGGACAACCTCCTGCCTATGCAATTTACTGCCTCTGAAAACCCACCCACTGGAAGGTCAGCTATGAGTAAGTACTGATTTGACAGTACATAACAATAACATTAACGTAGAATTCATTTTTGTTGTTTCCCAATGCAGATGATGTTTCCATTAGGCGACTGATAGGGAAAAAAGCTAAATATTTTGCTAGTAAAATATTTAAATGCTCCAAAATTCATAGTGTTAGCAAACTTTCAAAATACCTTAAAATAAAATTTAAGTAACATTTTATTTTGTCCTCTTATCTTGGTTATATCCCTCATTTTCTATTCTAGAAAGATAGAGGTTAATGAAATAATCCTATTTACGATTTTGAAATTAAGGACTCTTGTTCAATATAATTCTCTATTGTTGTTTTTTGCAGTCAAGTCAGAACCTACTAATAGCTGGCCCTCCACCACCTTTGCAGAGGCTAGAAGTCACATGAGAGGAAATTGCCCATTTTTCTCCCAGGGAACAACTAGTGAATTCAAACCACCTGCTTTTGAGCTAGCAGTACAACTCCTTACCACTAGATCACTAGAGCTAACTTAATAAAAATTTTTGGCAAACATTCAAAAAATTTAAGGATTCTATCAAATCTAGCCCTATGTAGTTCAGCAAGCATATATCTTAATTTTAAAATATAAATCAGAATCTAGTCATTTGAACTAGTATCGAGAATGGATAAAAACAGATCCTTAACATTTTGAGGCAAGGGGATTCATTGCAAGTAATGTGGTTAGAAGTGAGTATAACCATAGGAAAAAAGCAAAAGTATATGCACTTAGCGTATAATATTGTAGAATTGAAGTTGAGGGGTACCATAGGAAGCAAATACATATATTCTCGGTGTATCATCTAAACTTTCTAGTAACTCCCGTTTACTTAAAAAACCCTGCTTACATTTATTGATTTAAAGATTTCCTGGAATTTGAGCTGCTTTTTTCAAATAAAGAAAAAAATTACAAGAAGGAATGCTTGTTGTTTCCTCCCTAGTTTATATTTTAAAATACAAAACTGCATAAAGTGCCTTTTGTGAGTTATTGGTCTGTTTTGTTTTTGTTTTTTATAGGAGTCACAAAACAGTTGTTTCCCAATACAGATGATGTTTCCATTAGAAGAATGATAGGGCAAAAGCTAAATAACTGTACCAAGAAACCAAATTTAAGTAAAAATCTTAACTCTCAAGTAGGTCTTCTTGGTAAGTCTTTTTAATCTTCATAATTCTTTAAGTGTAATGGGTAAATATGGCAATATTTGTATGTGAGGCATAGCATTTCCCAAGCACTGTAGTGTTCCTTAGAATACTTGTTAGAGAGTACTAGTGATCTGTGAAATCCTAACATTATTATTGTTGTTAGGTGCGATGAAGTTAAATATGACTTACAGCAATCCTATGAACCCTGCCTTATTCTGTGCCATCCTCACAATCTCTGACACATTCAAGCCCATTGCTGCAGTCACTGTGTCAACTCACCTGGATATAATAATTGACAAGAGAATATTAGTGGCTTGTGAAATCCTAATAGGCATTTCTATTAGAAGTGTGTGGGGGACTGAGTAGTTTAGAAGAATTAAATATGGAAATACTAAGTCACATTAAGTTTCCCTTTCCCAGAACTTCTGAGATATTTTGATCCTCTTTAAGATGCCCATGTATACGAGCAATCACCAGGAAGGGGATCTACCATGTAGTGTTTTCCAAAAAAGTTTTACTGAGGAACATTTTTTTCCTCATTAATTTAAATTTGAATTTAAAAAGTAGCCAAAGGAAGGAAAGACAACAGTTTATCAAATGTTCCTGTAGTACAGGTTAGATTCAAACCCTTGGGAAATTTGAAGCGCATTAATGGTCTTCAACACTCTTCTTGTTTGCTTCAATTGCACTTAAATCTTTGAATCTTCATTTGTTTAATGAGAATTTTTTCCAAGATGTTTACATTATATTAAGGAAAAATTTATTTACTCTTAGTGAATGAATTCTGAAGGAAATGCATATTTGGGCAAAAGGAACAGTGAAATTGTGTGTCAGTGTCTTTTCTTTTTGAGTGTACTCACTCTCTTCTTCCACTACTGCGATAGACAAATATGTGTGTGTCAGGGGGAGTATACTTGTGTTATTAATATCCTAACCACATAACTGAAGTTTATGGGTACTACAAAGTCAAGGACATGGCAGATATTTTCCCATTCTCTCTCATTCCCTGCCCCCACGCCCTTCATCCTTGACTTCCATTTTGACTGTTCTATGACTAGTTGTTTGTCAGCTTGCAGTGCTATGTTGGCTTGCAGATTGCTATATGCTGGAAACAATGCCATCATTTAAAATACCAGCAGGGATATGCTCACTGATCTATACGAAGAAATTTGGAAAATAGCAACAAGTCCAACTGACTGGAAGAGTTCTGTATTTGTTCCCACTTAAAAAAAAAGGGAGCTCTGGTGGCCTAGTGGCAAGACGCTGCACTGCAATCCCAGAGGTACGCGATTCAGATCCACCAGATGCTCTGCTGGAGAAGGAGGGGACAATCTCCTCCTGTACCAGTCAGATCTGATTTGACGGTACACATAAAAAATAATACCAAAAAATAATTTTTTAAAAAAGGAATGGTTTTTTTAAAAAAGTGATTCAACAGGCTATGGAAATGACCAAATACTATCATTTGCAAGTAAAATCTTGCTATTAAAAACAGCTGAAGTCCCCTCCCTGGCGCTGATGGGCAGGCGGGCTGCCTTGAGGGGGGTGGAAGGGGAGAGCTGGCCCGCTTGCCTGAAGGTGACAATGCCTAACTTCTGTGCTGCCACCAACTGCAAGCGGAAGAGCACACAGTCTGACCTAGCCTTCCTCAGGTTCCATGCCAGAAGTGGGTGGAGAATTGTAAGAGGACCAACTTAGAAGATAAAACACCTGATCAGCTTAATAAACATTATCTGTTATGTGCCAAGCACTTTGAGACCTCAGTGATCTGTAGAACTAGTCCTTCTAAGATAGTTCTTTGAGACAGCTATGCCAACAATATCTGATCTTACCAGTCATCTGAACAGTCCACAGAGTAGACACAGAAAACAAATTGAAGAATTGAGTGAAGAGAAGATCAGGACAATGAAACAAACAAGCAAACAAAGACGAAACTTCTGAGTAACAGCAAACACATAAATAAACCAACAACAGCACTGTTCAGAACCTCAATGCAAAAGAAGGTGGTGAAGAACAGGATGAAGACATTTTGCCTTAAACCCTTGAAGAGAAGGAAAACAGAATATCTGAAATCTTTATTTGAAATTGGATTCTTATGGGAAAGCAGAACATGCCTCTGGATAGTCATGAAACTGATGAAATCCTAGGTGGTCTCTTTACTCCTGATAATTTTAAAGCTCTTCTCAAATGCCAGATAAATCCTGAAGAGGTTCTGAGATGGCGCTTTGAGACAACAGCTGTCAACACTCTTCTGTTCTGTTCTGTTCTGTTCTGTTCTGTTCTGTTCTAAAATCCAGCAGAAACAGACACTCAAAGTCTATGAGAGCTGCATTCGGTTGAAGCTCTGGGGGGAGCGAGAGATTCCCATTTCTTTTCCATTATCATTGATGACCTCGTGGACATAGCAGGGGAACAGTATCTGCCTGTGCTAGTGAGGTTTGTTGATGAATCCCATAACCTGAGGGGAATTCGTGGGCTTCCTGCATTATGAAGCTGATTTGGGGATTCTGGCTGTGAAATTTCACACTACAATAACTGAGAAATGGGGGTTAAGTAAGGAGTACTGTTGTGGCCAGGCATACATCATGTTCAGTGGATTGTCTTCCAGGATGAAAGTTGTTACTTCTAGACTTTTAGAGAGACATCCTCAAGCCATCTATACACCCTGTTCTTCCTGTACCTTAAGTATGTGCTTGGCAAAATCCGTAACTGTTCCGGGAATATATGTTGTACTGGGAACAATTGAGGAAGTTTGTTCTTTTTCAATCGATCACCACAACTGCTCTTAGATTGTCATTTCTGCCCTTTTTTAGAACAATGAGGAAAGAGGTGAAGGAAATTTGCTATTCTCAAGGGACAGGCAGGCTTGATGCTTTTGAAATCTTAGTGGACCTCTTGCAAACACGTGTTCTACATTTATATGGTATAAATAATGACACAAGTATTAGATAGAATAACTGTATAGCTGGCCAAGGCTTTGTACTCTGTAGTCCAAGTGCCCATCAACAAACGAATGGATAGAGAAGCTGTAGTATATCCACACAATGGAATACTACACAGCATTGGAAAAACAAGGAACTCATAAAATAATATACAAAATGGGTGAGCCTGGAGGACATTATGCTGCATGAAATATCTCAGTCACAAAAGGACAAATACTGCATCATGACACTGTTATAAAAACAGGACTGACATGGGAGTTGGGGGGAAACTAAGAAAAGAGAAAATAAATAATGAACACTGCATTGAAATAGATGAGGGAAAGAACTATCTAAAAGAAATATATTATTAGGTATTATTTGCATGACAACAGTCCAGAATAAGAGGTGCAAAGCAAAGTGGACTAAGGGGGGGAAGAGAGGAAATTGTGCAACAATGAAAGAATCTTTTTTAAAAAATTTTACACTAGTTTGTTTATAAAATTCAAATACATTGTTTTAGAGAACAGATTCTTTTAATTTCCCTTACCTCCCCACCCATCAAATTGTACAACCCCATGATTAATCCCCCCTCCTCCTGCACATCCTCATCCCTCTACTTCCAACCTCTCTCATCTGTTGGGATCCTTATACTCATTCTACAATAATGGATTTGTACAATATTTATCCTTGTGGGACTGAGTTATCTCAGCATAGTGCTCTCCAGTCTCTACCAAGTTAGGTAATAATTTACAAAGTCATTGCTCCTGTGTGCTGCATAGTATTCCTTTGTGTGAATATACCATAATTTCTCAGTCCATTCATTTGTGGTTGGACATTTGGGCTATTTCCATATTCTTGCGATGGTGAATAATGCTGCTAAGAACATTGGTGTGCAAATTTCCATTTCTGCTTCAGTTCTCATTTTCTCTGGGTATATATTCCAAGTAGTGGAATACCTGAGTCATAAGGAATTTTTATGTTCAGATTTTTGAGGAAGTGCCAAACTGCCTTCCAGAATGGTTGTACCATTCTACAGTCCCACCAACAATGTGTAAGAGTTTTTTTCTTTGCCATATACTCTAAAGAGAAAAGTGAACTTGGGGGCAGGGGGGTGGAGGAAAATATGCAACAATGAATGAATGGAAATCCAACTTTTCTGTAAACTTTCATTAAAATAGAAATATAGAAAATAATTTTAAAAAAATTAAAAAGTAACTTCACAGAAGAAGACATTCAGATGGCTAACAAGCACATGGAGAAATGTTCAAAATCCCTACCTCTAACAGAGATGCAAATTAAAACAACTATGGGATATCATCTCACCCCAGTCAGAATAGCAAAATTTAACAGAATAGCAAGCAACAAATGCTGGCAAGGTTGTGGAGAAACTGGAACCCTTATTCACTGTTGGTGGGAGTGTAAAATGGTGCAACCACTGTGGAAGGCAGTATGGCGCTTTCTCAGAAAGTTGCAAATAGAGATACCATTTGACCCAGCAATTCCACTACTGGGAATATACCCCAAAGAGACCATAACTGACATCCAAGCAGATCTATGCACACTCACGTTTATTGCGGCTTTGTTCACAATAGCAAGGAGTTGGAAACAACCTAAGTGTCCATCAACAAATGAATGGCTAGAGAAGCTGTGGTATATTCGCACAATGGAATACTATGCTGCACTGAAAAACAAGGAACTCATGCAAATTATTAAAAATGGGTGACCCTGGAAGACATTATGCAGCGTGAAGTATCTCAGTCACAAAAGGACAATACTGTATGGTGCCACTGTTGTAAAACAGTACTGACCTCGGAGTTGGGGGGAGACTGAGAAAGATGGGTTCAATAATGTATATTACATTGAAACAGATGTGGGAGAAAACTGTTTAAAAGGGATATGTGTTTAGGTATTTTTGTCATGACAGGTGTCTAGAACGAAGGCTACATGGTGGGGGGGACCTGGGGGAGGGTTTGTAAAACAATGAAAGATTTTTTGTTTTACTTTTATAAGAGAGTAGTGTACTGGGTGCAGGGAGGGGAGAAAAGTGCAACAGTGATTGAATGGAAATTAAAAAAAAATTTAAAAATAAAATTTACATCCTTGCTCTTTAAAGAAAAACAACCAGATTTTTATTTCATCATTACAATTGTTGTTCTTAAAAAGTCTTATCTTTTACAAGAGCTTTTGGGGAAAACCTGCAGGGTCAGATGTCTGATGTCTTCTTTGCTGTCAGCAGTTTGACTGCAGGGCTGCATTCACCAAATGAAATGATGGGGAATATTGAAGTGTCTTATGAATTTTGGTTTGAGGAAGCCACAGTTTGGGCAACCAAACTTGATATTCAAATAAAATTCCCTGGAAAATTCCTCCAAGCTCAGCAAACTGGATTCTGAGCTCAGAGAGTTATTATAAAGAAACCCTGAGTGTCCTTTCTGTGGAGCACATTATTCAAGAACGTAAAGATATATTATCAGGACAGCACCTCAGAGCTCTTACATGTTCATCTCTGGTCTTAAATGTCCATTTCTGTCATGGGGCAGCTCCAGGTCAATATAAGGAACATCATGCTGACGTAC